CATGAGGCTGGAAATACAAGAAGAGGGAAACATGTGGCTTAGAGTTTCAAGAAGAGTGACTGCCTCAGCGCCGAGCACCTCAGCGGCTTCTCTACGTGCTCTTCAGTCCCCGAAGTTGGAGAATCCCATCAAGGACAGTAGCCCTGTAAGGAATTCGAATTTCCAGTGTGTAAGTCCCTGGTTTTATACCTGCTCAGATTGCAGTGGGAAAACAGCAACATGTACCTTGACTCTCTGGCCCCACGTTACTGAACATTTGCTAAAAGGTTAACTGACTTGAGGGATCTTGTGCGGTGTTTTCTCTTGTGCTGCAGGCTGGCAGGGGTGTTTGTTCTGTGGGGGCTGTGCACTTGGTGGCTCTCCGTGCACACAGTCACTCCAGTGACACATGTTTAATAGGGACTGGGAATGATTTCATGACTGTGGCTCAGTAGCAAACGCAGGCCAGCTGTGATTCTATTTTTAACATGTACCATCAAGGGTGGTGTTGATATTTTATTCCACCGAGCCTCTGTTTCTTCTGTAAATGAGGATTTTCTTAGTATCGACCTTGTGAGGATTAAATCCCATAATTTTATGGAGGTGATTAGTAAACGTGAACTCTGCCCTTACCTTTATAACATCTGAGGCTCCGTGAGGGCTCTCTCCTTTCGGTGTATGGTATAGTCTACTTAGAGGTCAATTTGGTGTCTACCTATGCAGGGTGATTTGAGGAGAATTAGAAGATCTTTCCCACCATTTTCCCACCAAAATGCTGAGTACAATTCCCATCTGAAAACATATGCAGATAGGAATTTCTATTGGGAGAATTGTTTGGTTATCGACTTCAATGAGTCGAAGTTCTCCTGGTCTTAACTCTGTTGTTGGAAGTATGTAAGAATCAAAGCTTAATCGATGGAAATCGTTGCTGTCCATCATGCATGAGTTAAAACCATTACTTCTGAGTGGTCAGTTTGCATTGGGCTCTGTCTAGAAGAAGGTTCACCTTCTTCACCTCCAGTCACATCCCCATTTCACAAGTGAGCAAACAGCCAGAGGAGGGGAGGAGGATGGCATAAGATCTTGCAGCTGGCAGAGACAAAATGCGCATGTAGCCCGTTTGCACTTGGTGCTCTTGGGCAGCCAAGCAATCCAGTGTGTGGGTCCAGGGTGACAAGTGCCGCTCCCGTGGCTGGGGTAAGTCCCTCCAGCATTCAGTCTTGCTCTCTGTGCTTATCTGGATGAGGTGCAGGATGAAGATGACCCTATAGAACTCTACCCTGGAAGTCCTCACAAAGTGGATACGTGACATTTTTGAAACCAGGGACATGTTGGTGCTGCTTAATATTTAAATCATAATTTTCACACTCTTAAAAATTACTAAATAAGTTTGAAGAGACACAGCCATCTGCCTACAGTGCCACCCCTGAGCTTCACGCCACCCTGGTCTCCAAGCCAAGGGAGAGGCTCAGGATTACTGAATGCAGGTATGACTGTGGAAGAAAAACCGAGTTTTCACATTTTAACAAGGTCAATTGAGGCCGGGTGTGGTGGCTCACACCTGTAATCCCAGCACTTTGGGAGGCCAAGGCGGGCAGATCACGAGGTCAGGAAATCGAGACCATCCTGGCTAACCCGGTGAAACCCCATCTCTACTAAAAAAAATACAAAAAAATTAGCCAGGTGTGGTGGCGGGCGCCTGCAGTCCTAGCTACTCTGCAGGCTGAGGCAGGAGAATGGCGTGAACCCAGGAGGCGGAGCTTGCAGTGAACCGAGATCATGCCACTGCACTCCAGCCTGGGCAACAGAGCGAGACTCTGTCTCAAAAGAAAAAAAAAAAAAAAAAACCCAAGGTCAATTGAGTAATCAACTTGATAAATAAATTAATGATTATATAAAATGAGGGCTGGGTGCTGTGACTCACACCTGTAATGCCAGCATTTTGGCAAGGTCAATTGAGTAATCAACTTGATAAATAAATTAATGATTATATAAAATGAGGGCTGGGTGCTGTGACTCACACCTGTAATGCCAGCATTTGGGGAGGCTAAGGTGGGTAGATCACTTGTGCTCAGGAGTTTGAGACAAGCCTGGGCAACATGGTGAGACCTCATCTCCACTAAAAATATAAAAACTAGCCAGGTATGGTGGTGTGCACCTGTAGTCCCAGCTACTTAGGAGGCTGAGGTAGGAGAATCGCTTGAGCGTGGGAGGCGGAGGTTACAGTGAGCCGAGATCGAGTCACTGCACTTAAGCCTGGGTGACAGCGTGAGACCCTGTCTCAAGAAATAATAATAATAATAAAATAAAATTATGAAAGTTTTACTCTGCCAAGAATCTATTACAGTTTTCTTTTTCCCAGGAACACTGGTCTGACTTTATTATTATTATTTATTATACTTTAAGTTCTAGGGTACATGTGCACAACGTGCAAGTTTGTTACATATGTATACATGTGCCATGTTGGTGTGCTGCACCCATCAACTCATCAGCACCCATCAACTCGTCATTTACATCAGTTGTAACTCCCAATGCCATCCCTCCCCTCTCCCCGCTCCCCATAATAGGCCCCGGTGTATTACAGTTTTAAAGATACATAGAGCCTTGAATATATAAAGAAAATCTTGATTCAACTATGGAGAGAAATCAACAAATCCACCATCTTTACCAATTGTAGTAAACTGGATGATAGATTTAGCAAACAAAACATTAGTAAACATTTAGAAAATTTCAAAAGCAAAAGTAATAATCTTGCTTTATTAGACATATATGGAATCAAATACCTAAAAATTAGAAAATACACTTTCTTAAGTGTCTTAAGTGGCATTACGCAAATGTCAACATCTATCAGAGAATTGCTCTCACACCAACATGTTCTCTGACCGCAATTCAATGCAAGTAATTAAATTAGAATTCAATTAAAAAATAAACAAATATTGCTATGTATGTCTGGACATTTTTTTTTTTTTTTTTTTTTTTTTTTTGAGGTGGAGTCTTGCTCTGCCACCCAGACTGGAGTGCAATGGCACAATCTCGGCTCACTGTAGCTTACGCCTCTCAAGTTCAAGCAATTCTCCTGCCTCAGCCTCCTGAGTAGCTGGGATTGCAAGCGCCTGCCACTACGACTGGCTGATTTTTGTATTTTTAGTAGAGGTGGGGTTTCACCATGTCGACCAGGGTGGTCTCGAACTCCTGACCTCAGGTGGTGCACCCATCTTGGTCTCCCAAAGTGCTGGGATTACAGGCATGTGCCACCGTGCCTGGCAGTCTGGACATTTTTTGAATAGCTACTGAATAACTCGTGTATCAAAGAAAAACAAAATAAAGATTAAATACTACTTATACACAAATGATAATAAAATATCAGCCCCCTCCTCATACCTTTGTCCCCCTGGTGTGTGGCCCAAGCTGTGTGCAGGATGAAGGGCACCCACCCAGGGAGCAGTGCAGTCCTGGCCCCGCCCTGCGGGAGCCCTATGCTCAGTCACCCACTGCAGCCCCGTCTCCTGGCCAGTCCTCCCCAGGGCTCTTCCTCATGTGTGCATAGCCACGGGCAAGAAAGGAGGGTCTCAGGACAGAGGAGTTTCAGCTCAAGAAGTGCCTGGCTGTCCCGCTTGACACTGTCCCCTCCCACAGAGCTCCAATGCTCAGAGCTGGGGCCTGCCTCTCCTCTGTGGTCATGGCTGAACTCACAGTGTTTGGGGGAATGAGCCACTCTGCTGCTGGCTTCTGGCTCCCCCTGGATGGTGACGCTTGGGCAGCTCCCATCTTGCCCTCTGCGCAGATGGGGCCTAATCTCCTTACTGCCTCCACTGTCCACGTGGCTGCTGCCTGTGGGTCCCTGCACGGCTGCTGGAGGGAGCTGCTTACCTACAGGCTGAGACCAGGATCCCCTACTTGTATCACCTGCCGGCTCCCTGCCCTGCAGCCCCTGCACTCACGGCATGTTCTGCTGCCTTGAAGGCTGCTGCCTCTGTCCCAGCTCCGTGGGGTCTCTGCTCTACAGGAGTAGCTTCTTCCTTGAAAAGATGCTGCTTAAAATCAGAGGATGGATGGCTCTGCTTGGGGAATTTCTAGCTCTGGACTGTGCCACAAGCCCTGGATGTGGTATGTGTATGTGTGTGCATGCATGCACTTAGGAATATGTGTGCGTGTGTGCATGTGTGCAAGCATGTGTATGTGGTATGCATGTATGTATGCATGTGCTATTGTACATGTGTAGTGTGCATAAACATGCATGCATGTGTGCTTGTGTATGTGTGTGCATGCATGAGTGTGCATGGTGTGTGTGCATGTGTGTGTGGCCGGGGCAGAGGCACCTGCAGGTTGCTCGTCATCTGAGTGGACCCTGTTCTCCACTATTCCTCCTCTGCAAAACCCAGGCTCCTTTCCTAGCTTCATATGAATCCGCGTGCACCTTCAGGAGAAACGGAGTCCTCCTCCTTCTATCACACCCATCAAGCAGGGGTCGGGGGAGGGGCTGAGGGTGGGGAAGATGATCCTCCCTGTTGCTGCCCAATGGTGGGAGGAGAGACGGAGCCCAAACTATGTTTTCAATGCTGATAGGCTTAAGGGTAACAGCACAGGAGTTTGAGATGCACGCGGCTCAACACCTAATCTGCATCTCACTTCACTTTCTCATCTGGCGAAGTGGGCTTGGGACCCTGAGCCTCCCGAGTATCACAGGGTCCTAATAGTCCCTCACAGAAGGCACAGGCCCAGAGTGAGCACTCCCCAAATGCCACGCCATCCCTTCCTCACCCCTGGAGTGGAGCCTGGGGGTTCTCAGACTTGTTGGGAGAGTCCCAGGAGCACTGGCCCCAAATCTGCATCCCACACAGTGCCTGGGAACCCAAGGCCCATTTTTTCCTTGGCGTCTCCCCAGCCTCCGCAGGCCGTGCTGCTCCTCGCCATCCTGCTAGGATGACTCTCTCCTCCTGGGGGCAGAGTGGGGGCAGGAGGTGGTGGGAGGGTGGAGGGATGCTGCTCAGTAAATAATGCAGAGCCGGCAGCTCTGATTGGCTTCAGAGAGGCAGACACTGTGTCTACATAAATGGCAATCACATCTTCTGTGCCTCTTAACTGTCACTGTGGAGAGGAGAGAGAGAGGACAGAGAGCAAGTCACTCCGGGCTGCCTGTGAGTACCGCTCTTTGTCCTCATGGCTCGCGGACCAGACTCACGCGTCCAGCTCCCTGGATGGCCGTGACCCTGGGGTTTGGGGTGGGAGGTTTGCCGGTTGATTCTAGCTGTGCTGAGTTCCCCTCCTGCAGGAGAAAGGAGGTTCTGCCGACAGGGACAGCTGAGCATCCAGTGTGTTCAGGTGGCACAGGGTTTACAGGAACTTTTCAAGAAAATAGGCACCAACCTAGGTCGGCTTGCTTTTTTGTGCCATCTGCAAGCAACAGGTCAGGCACATAATCCGAAACTTTGGATTGCTTTTTAGGCCACATTCCTAGAGCCACGACAGCAACATAACTGAGTGGAAATTATTTTCCAGACTGGCTCGCGTGCATGTAGTGACCACGGAGGCCACGCGATGGGTGGGAAAGAAGGAGGCTGTGCGGCCTCACAGGCTGGGGTTTGCATTCAGGTGCACACCTCCCCAGCCGCCTTTCCTGCCTCAGAGGTGAAGGAGAGGAGCTAATTAACAGCGTCCTCCCAGCAGATCATGGTAAAAACCAGGTCTGATTTTATAAAGGGGCGGGCACACAATAGGTGTTCAATAAATGAGAGCCCTATTATGAATAAGGGAGGAAAGTGTGAGGGCGATGAAGATGCTGCTGAGTGGTCTGCTGCACCCTCCATAGCCTGTTTCTTCAGTTTCCAAGGGAAATTCAGGCAGGTGACATGGGTTCTCCCCACAAGCTTGTTTCTCTCTTGAAGACTCCAAGGGCAGAGGCTCCTTGCGAAAATTCCTCATTCAGATAAGCAGGGTTTCCCCTCCAAGAGGTGACAATTGCTGCACAAAAGCTGTTCCTCTGTGGGTTTGTCAAGTGTGCCAGAGACAAATACTCCTTTTGCTCAGGGCACGGGAGTCCTGGCTGGCAGCCTGCGGTGACCCCATACCAGAACACAGGCATCCTGGATGGCTGACCACGGAGCAAGTTCAGGGGTGTCTGGATGGTTCTGAAGGAAACAAAATCACACCATTCTCAGCAGTTTCTTTTCTTCCTGTCTTCTGGGCACACACTGGGTGGGCCTCTGCACACAGCCAGTGTGAATATAATAATTAAAATAAATCCCCCTTAACTCCCCTGCCACAAATTCAAAGAGATAGCCTGGGGGTTCTAATTACCTTTGTTTTCTGCTCTTCAAGATATTGATTATTCTGAAGGCTTTACTTTCAGAAACTCAGCTTGAGTCAGCTGTCAAGTTTAGGGAACGGCTCTAGGAAAACCACACTACGTGGATATTTTAAAAGAAGTGTTCTGCGGCCGGGCGCAGTGGCTTATGCCTGTAATCCCAACATTTTGGGAGGCTGTGGTGAGTGGATCACCTGAGGTCGGGAGTTCAAGACCAGCCTGGCTAACATGGTGAAACCCTGTCTCTACTAAAAATACAAAAAATAGACAGGCGTAGTGGTGCACGCCTATAGTCCCAGTTACTCAGGGGGCTGAGGTAGGAGAATTGCTGGAACCCGGGAGGTGGAGGTTGCAGCGAGCCGAGATCACGCCATTGCACTGCAGCCTGGGCAACAGAGCGAGACTCTGTCTCCAAAAAAAAAAAAAAAAAAAAAGGTGTTCTGATGTTTTATGTTTGTCTGGTGCTTGTTGGCATTTCTGGAGGAAGACATTCAGGGAGCCCAGAGGCACCTCGTGGACATATGGGGCAGCGAGGGACACAGAACCTCGTAGAAAAGGTTAGAATCCCACTGTGCTGAGAGATGGCGGAGGGTCCTGGTCTTGTGGTTTGGACAGAGGCAAGTGTGGAAGCCACTTCTGAGCTGTGCGGGCTGAGAGGAGCTCCGTGCCTGCTGCGTGCTTCCCTCAGCCTCTCCACATTGCTGTCGAGGGGATCATACTGCTACTTTGCAGAGCTGATGTGAAGTTTAGGAGAATATAGGTAAAGGGCTTATACTGCTGCCCTGTATATGGCAACTCTTCAGCATTTCTTCTGTTTTGGAGGAGGTAGGGGGGAGGCACTTCTCTTGGGGCATGGAGAGCCGCAGAATTTGTTGAGCTTCTGCTTGTTTCTGTTGGGATCAGCCCAGGTGGGTGGAGGCAGACGTGTGTCTGTGGGCTCAACGGTCCCACCCGAAGCCACATCCCCCTGTTCTCCCAGGTGCAGTGAACCAGGCAGGAGCCCTGGACCACACTCTCGGTTGTGGACACCACCTTCCCCATCCCAGTGGGAGCCCTGTTTAGAGTCCTGTGGTCTCATCTCTGGCCATGGTGAGGACACGGGCAGCTGACAGTGCAGGTGTAAGTGGATTCCAGGGCAAAGGTGTGTTAGGAAAATGCTGACTTCAGAATACTGGCACCCACTCCTGGACTTACTGGCTGTGTGGCTGTGGTCAAGTTAAACAGCAATAGCTACTGGCCTGGCAGGGTTGTGAGCGTGTTCAGTGAGATGATGTATACCATGAGCTTATCAGGAGCTTGAGCACTGCTGATTTGTTTGGTTTCTTGGACAATAGGATGTGGCAACCAAGGTTCAACAGATTCTCAGGATTTTTTCTTGGTGGGGGGCACCTCAAGTACAGGCTTCTTAGCAACACCAGGCCCCAGGCCAGCAACTGTTCAATATGAGGAATAGGGAAGCATTCAGTGTGAATCTAGAAGTCAATATTTACCGCCAAACTGGCTCATAAGGACTCCCCAAAGAGTGTGCCAAAGCATACTAAATAGATTCACAGTGCAGGTGTCCTGTGTTTGTAATAGACGGTAAACCAGGACATGTCATGGGCACTGGATATTATGACTATGGTGAAAAGAAGCAACCAGCTAGAACATAATTTGAATTGTCTCAAGCCAATAGCAAAGGCAGATGGTTATGATCTCTTGTGAACCAGTAATGTGACTGCAAGAGAAAGGGGGAAAGAATTGAGAAAAAAATAAGGGAAAAAATTTGTAAGGGGGAGTGATTTCTGAATTTTCTTCTGACATAACTCTTCAATAAAATGAAAACAAGGCCGGGCGCGGTGGCTCAAGCCTGTAATCCCAGCACTTTGGGAGGCCGAGACGGGCGGATCACAAGGTCAGGAGATCGAGACCATCCTGGCTATCACGGTGAAACCCCGTCTCTACTAAAAATACAAAAAATTAGCCGGGCGCGGTGGTGGGCGCCTGTAGTCCCAGCTACTCGGGAGGCTGAGGCAGGAGAATGGCGTGAACCCGGGAGGCGGAGCTTGCAGTGAGCTGAGATCCGGCCACTGCACTCCAGCCTGGGCGGCAGAGCGAGACTCCTTCTCAAAAAAAAAAAAAAAAAAAATGAAAACAAAGGAGAAGTTAAAATTACCTAGCAGTTAGCGTATAAACTTTTTAAATTAGCAACCATGAATGAAAATAATAAAATGTGAATGTTTTAAGGTTTAAAGTGAAAATGCGAATGAAGGAGAAAAGCTTGCGGAGATGGAGTGTGTACGCTCGATGCCTGATGGTGGGTGACATTTCCATATCATTCCAGTTTTTCAAAAAGAAATTGACAACATGCAAAAAGAACTGTACAACTCACATGTGTCAATTCCACTGGAGAATTAATATCTTTGAGACAGACCCAATAGGTGTGACCTGTATGGTGACGGTGGAGTGTCATCTACTCATGACGGTGCTGCCCATAACAGCGAACAGCTGACAGGCAAAGTGGGGATGGATGGTGTCATAGGAACACGGTGAAATCCCCACTCAGCAGCCCTTAATAAGAGCAAACAGGAGTGTTATGTTAAGGAAATTCTGCGTATTGTAATTAGGCATACAGGAAAAATGTCAAGTGAAAAAAGGATCCCCAGTCATACACACATCCTCATTGCAACAATTTGAATTGTCTACAGTCAGGACTAAAATGGAATAATATCAATCAGTTTAATGTCCTTGACATTCTTTTTCGTCTTTTGAGATTGCTCAAGTTATGAATGTTTCCAGCCAGCATTAACTTAGGTCACAGCATGGTTACAGAGCTATGAGTGGAAGTAGTAGCTTTCCATGGGAGGAAAACTGAAAACCAAGACAAACTTCTCTATGGCTCCTTTCCATGGATAATTGTTGGCCAAGAATCTACTTTGACAGAGCTTTGTTTATTAAACAGGGAATGAATAAGAAACATCTGCACAAAGCTCCTTCCTCCTTCATGTCAGCAGAGCAGCAAGGCTTTCCCTTGAATTTTGATCTTTGTTGTAGAAATTTCCTCCCTTTTCTCTTATGCTACCTCAGGAGAAGAGGCTTCTGCCTGTCTTCTGTAGCATCAATGATAATAATTGCTAGACACAGGTTTACAGTCCAAAGTGCTCTCTGCCTGCATGAGCTTGCAGCTCCATTTTACATGTGAAGAAACAGACTCAGAGAGGCCAAAACGTCAGCCAGCAGCTACATGCCTCTTGCTGCAGAGCTATGGACTCAAGCTGTTCCCTCTGAATGCAAACCCACTATTCTTTCTACTCTCCATAAGGAGGAGGAGGAGGAGGAGGAGGAGGAGGAGGAGGAGGAGGAGTACTGTCCTGTGGAATTGTAATGCTGAAAGCATAGCTCTGCTTGATTGTAGCAGGGCCATTTTCCAATGCAGACCAAGCTGGCCAAGGAGGCAGCTGGGCGGAGTAGGACTTAGAACCCAGTGCAAAGTCCCTTACAGGAGTTCCTTTCTGGACAGACACTCCCTTGAGATAAGGCATTTGATTCCTCCTGAATTTGCACAGGTGTGGAGAGTGAAATGCTATGCTTTGAGCATCTATCTTGTAATTATCTTGTACTGTCTTCACAGTTCTGTGTGGTGCCTAGGATGATGGCCATGGTACAGATTGCAAGTGGAGCTGCAATGGAGTGGACATGTGTGTTTCTCCCAACATTCCTATGTTGAAATCCTCACCTGCAATGTATTAGGAAATGGGAACTTTGAGAGGTGATTAGGTCATGAAGTCAGTGCCCTCATGAATGGAATGAGTACCCTTACAAAACAGACCCTAGAGAAACCCGTCACCCCTTCCA